AATTGGAAAATTAACTGCGATGATCATTCTTCACTTTCATCTACAACCGCAGTTCATATATGAATTATTTCATATAAACTTCACATCGGACATTAATGATCGAAATAGTCGTCATGGTTTTACAAACTTGGCCTGTCCTCGTTTTAAACGAGAATCCGAGGGGTGCGATCATTTCGCGTGAGAACAGCAACACTTTGGAACTCCATTCCCAATTTCTTAAAGAAACGCGCAAGTGTACGTAGTTTTCAATACACAATAATTATTAAGAGGGCCACAAGTTTATAAGTAGTGGAACTATTATGTATTACCCTCTATAAATAAAGATTGTGATTGATTTGCTTTTCGCTAGAGCTAACTGTGGTTATATGTATATAAAATCTATGACTTTTCATCACTTTTGTCTTGTTCTTTCGAGTCGTCACGCAATATTTCCTGCAAACGAAAATTGCGCAACGAGCGAAAGGATGCCTGAGGAAGGAAACCTTAATAAATAGCTTTGGTATTTGGCAGTGTAAAACACAAATTTCCAAGATAAAATTAACAACCTTTGATTTGTTTTTTGACAAATATCCCTCTTTCTAAGGCACAAATACAAAGAGGCTTCCTACCAGCGGACTCAGATTGCGTGACACCCAAAATAATGCCTTCGTATAGTACTGTTAAAATTCTGTATCTACAAAAAGAGTGAAATCCAAGTTAGAAATAACGTCCTGGTCATCCCAAAATACTTGTTTTTAACTCGAATTCAACCGCATTTAACAGAGGTAAATTTATCTCGGCTTTCCCCAGGTGAAAAGGTAAGTCAGGTAAGGCTGATCAAAGTTTATGCAGACACTCTTTGCTTTACATATATGCACCGGAAACGAAACATTCTTTTGCGCGAATGGAAAGACGGTGAGTTGTTCCATTTCATTACCATTGTGGTTTGACGCCCAAGCGTATCCCAAAGGTACTTCCACGGTCACAGTAACAGTTTAAAAATTTTCGCCACTCTGACACGTGAGCTCATGTCGTGGAATTATTGCGTGACTGTTGGTTGGTCTGCCGCGGCTGGAGTTGGCGCGGTGCGACGCGCGCGGGGTAATGAACTCGCGCGACTGGTTTCTATCTTGTGCTCCGCTCACCTCGTTCTGTATCACTACTAGAGCACCAGCTACGCAGGCTACAGCTTAAAGTAACAGCATAGCTAATAACATGACATGACGGTCCCCTTTTCCCAAAACACAGTCATTTATTGCATTCCCAGACAAATATTTGCATTAACCCTCGAAGCTTGGCGCCTCGCCAACGATCAGCCGATAGACATGGAGTTAGTTGTCTGACCAGTCACCGGTGTGCCAAAAAATTAAAAGAAGCAGAAAAGCAGTGGTGATCAAAACTGTCTGAACTCTGACTGCGTTATAGATCGTTTTCACGTGACGTCATCATGTACTAAAATTCTACCAAAGTTCTTATCTTTATCAGGCATAAGAGGCGCTAACTTTATATTTTTTTCAGTGTTATAGCGTCCTTATGACCCACTTATGGCTAGGATTGAATACAAATGAGAGATGCATGGCTCCTTATGATAAAGAACACAAAGTGTCATTGCCACTACTTCATATTTGACAGAATTATGCGTTTTGCTGGCTTTTTACGAATGACGACACTTTCCCTTCGTTTGCAAACCAGCGCATTTGTTGAATTTCAGAGTCAAAAAAGTTACGAAGGCGCTTGTGGAAAACTATATTCATCTTGTGATTTTAACCATTTGAGAAGTTAGAGTAGTAGGAAGAGTGTTTATCTAAATGTTCCTTTGTCCAGTAAATATAATCAGTGGCCTAGGTAACCAAAATAAGTTACAGGTGCTGTATGTAAAGCCCTCAGAAATAACGTTGTATGCGTTTGGTAAAGTTACCTTTTTCCCTCTCCTTTTCTTTTTCTTTTTTTTTTTTTCTAGTACGAGAGAGATGGTTACTTAGCAGTTAAAAACATTTTCAACGAAGACGAAAAGAAGGAACTTATTGAAGCTATGGATGAGCTCATTGAAATGTAAGTATCACGTTAATGTCGGTACTTTGGTGATCCCGCTGGCGGGTTCGCTGGGTGCAATTATGCTGAAACAACTCTTTTCTTAGGAGCACCGGTAAGACAAGCTCAGACAAGTACTTCATATTGGAAGAAAGTAATTCGTCCGCCAAGACGCTATTAAAAAGATCACGTGTTATCTGTCCATCTCTTATACATCCTGTGTGGCACAAAGCTCTACGACATCCGAAGCTTTTGGACATAATTTCACAACTGGTAATTTCTATTTTATCTGTGTTATTTTAATGTTTGTTTTTAATGTTTGGTCTTCTTTGACGAAGGGCACCTCACGCCCAAACTGAATGAATATCATTAAGGTATCATCGGTGGCAGCAGTCTGTTATTCTTACGTCAACATTATTATTCCTCTTCTTTTAAACGTCAGGTTGAAAGCTCTTCTATTCGATATATAATGCAAGAGAAAATACACATGAAGTACCCCGGTGAAGACGGCTCCATGGGAATCAAGTGGCATCAGGACTGGGCATTCCTTCCTCACACAAACGACAGCATTGTTACTGTTGGTTTGGCTGTAGATGATTCTACCAAGGAAAATGGTGAGTAGTAGATGACTTTGATGAAACAAAGGTCTGCTTACTGGCATTTGAGCTCCAACCGCACCTCAATGTGGAGCATGGGAAGCATGTATGGCGCAGTGGTAAGAGCGCTCGCCTCCCATAAATGTGGCCCAGGTTCGATTCCGGCTCGGTGTCATATGTGGGTTGACTTTGTTGTTAGTTCTCGGTTTGCTCCGAGGATTTTCTCCGGGTTCTCCGATTTTCCTCCCTCCACAAAAATCATCATCTCCATATTCCAATTCGACCAGGAGACAGAGAGCCCGCATGAAAACCAGCGTAGACTGATGTGGCTTCCTCTCTAATTCAGCAACTGCAACTGCCTCAGGTGTCGTTATGTGACGTCAGTTTGGGTACGTGACAAGCGGTTCTATATAGGGGGAGGTCCTAACTCTCATTTCAGTTCAGTGTGGGAAACTGGTGTCTGATGTGGAATGTCCACGGTCTCGTGGTTGTAGGTACTGCAGTTTCTAGACTGGCCTCAAATAGGTCAGACGAGACCTGAGCCAGCTTCATGCGCTGAATGAAGACAAACAATAGACTGCAAGGCTGATACAACGTGAAAGACATTTCGAGACACCAACATGACAAAAACCGATAAAGCAGAATCGCAACATTGGACAGCTGTTTCGTCCTCCTTAAACGAGTCCCAAGAAGGACGAAACGGCTGTCCACTGTTACGATCCTGCTCATGTTATGGGTTCTTATCATGTTGGTGTCTCGAAACGTCTTTCACGTAGTATCAGCCTTGCAGTCTATTGTTTGTCTTTATACCTTTTTTTAACTGATCAGATCTCTTGTAGATCTTACGTTGGCAGCGTTTATCGTATGTGATCCCTTGCAGTTTCTGGTTTCTTCTTGCTGAATGAAGACCTTACCATGTGGTTTGAAGCTCCTATCATACTCAACAAGCCTCAGATAGGCCCTTTGCAGCTAAGCCATCACGTGACCTATTTTTCATAATATTATGGGCTGTAACTTAACGCATGCCAGAAAAGGAAAAGGCATGTCGAAAATATCAAAATGGCCAAGTTTGAGGCCCCCATCATGTTAAAGAAGGAGATTTTATGACGGTCCGATTTTTTAAATTTGTTTGGAAAAAGTTGTTGGAGAGCAAGGCCTTGCTCTCCAGCAACATTTTACATACAAATCCTCTAAATTTTCAGACAATTCAAACTGTCGTATAAACTTGCTCTTTAAAGCCAGGGGCCTCAAACTTGGCCATTTCGGTATTTTCGATGCGCTCTTTCCATTTCAGGCATTCCTTAAGTTATAGCCCATAATATAAAAAATTTCCAGGAAAAATTTGGTCACGTGACCCCAGCTGCAAAGGGCCTATTAGTGTCATCAAAAGCTCAAGAAATAACTTCAATAGTGTCAAGAATGTACAATACAGCTTGGTGTTCGTGTTCGGTACACGTAGAATTTAGAAATAAATTACAATACCTTTCGTGTAGGCGGTCCTGTACCAAATCTATCTACTAAGTTTTCGGTTTCTGCCGTTATGCCTTTTAACATTTATTGCAGGTTATGATGCACTCTGGATCTCTTGATCGTTCTCAAGGACTCGCGAAAGTTTTTTCTCGATATGGACTTCCCGCCGGGAAATAACATAGATATCTTTGGTTCACCTTTAGGCTGTCTGCAGGTCGTTCCTGGAACGCACAAGGAGCCAATCCTCTCTCACTTCAGGAATGATTCATTTGTGTCAGAAATCACGGACCCGACCTTTGACCCCAGTAACGCAGTACATGTTGAAGTACCATCCGGGGGCGCCTCGTTCCATCACGTGCGAACTGCGCATGCTTCAGGTCCTAACAACTCGACTCGCTCCAGGCGAGTGTGTTTCACTCAATATTGTTTTTTTTAAAATACATTTGGGAACTTTCTCTCTCCTATCCAAACAAAAACAAACTGAATGAACGGCAGAAAAATGAACAGCCAACCGAGCGCAAAGCAAACGAAAGTGCAGCTTTGCACGGAGGGTTGCTCCCTTATATGGGCTATATAGGTATGTGCGGCCCCAAAGGGTAGGGTTTTTCAGCCGTTTTGGCCGCAAATAGGGTATCGATTTTGGCCATTTTAGTCTTAAATAGTGTGTGGTTTTAGCACTCTAGTCATGAATTGCGTCTGTTCCTTAGAAGAAGCTACTTTTTCATCATTATTAATAAGACCGTCTACAAAAGCCCTTCCCCATTAAGGCAACTGTGCCAGCTGCAAAGGTCATAAATAGGGTATCGAATTTTTGGTCAGTTCATTAACAGGGTAGCAAAAATCGCAGATTTTGGTCATGAATAGGGTAAGGGTTTTGGGAAGTGGGCCCCACAACCCTACCCAACTTTTCTGGGAGTACCTCCCGGGATGGGGGATTTGCTCTCTTACTAAAGATCTTTTCTTGAGCCACGCCAGAGTGGGTAATCAGCCTGGCAAAGCTGTAGTGCATAACGATTGCTGGAGTTCAAAATCAACAAAAATACTTCCCCCATAACGGCCTGATAGCTCAAGTCTTGAATATTTCCCGCAATTTAATCACGACCACCCTAGTTCTTCCAGATTTCCTAGAATTGCCACAAATAAAAGTTTTGCATCGTAGAGCAGAAATCAAACCTATGCCATACCGTTCTCATGCTGCTCATCGATTTTTTTGTTATTTGCACTGCAGTGTAAATTAACGCACACGCATTCGTACTTTTCTCAGTCATATAATAAACGAGTAATAGTTTCAAAGCTTGGCAGTTAAGGATTTATACTAAGAGCGATATTTGAAAGTTCTTTAAAATGACACTAATTGCTTGAATGCTCGTGCAATTTTAAGGGAATTTCCAAATGTTACTTGTAATATAATTGCACATGCATTATTACGATTGCCTACTCTCTATTTCGTATATTACTGTCCAACAGTGTTTAAAAGCATTACGTCTTTTCCTCAGCTTAAAAATATAAGAGGTAGGTTATGTCTGCATACTAGCCAGGCCGGAGCTCATCCCGGTTTCTGTAGCATGAAGCGACTAGGAGTTTTTCTACTTTCCCCTGGATGGGATGCTAGTCCATCGCAGGGTCACTCCCAGCATTAAGTTTGCCGGTACCCATTTATACACCTGGGTGGAGAGAGGCACTGTGAGAGTAAAGTGTCTTGCCCAAGAACACAACATAATTGTCCCCGGCCAGGGCTCAAACCCGGACCGCTTGATCCAGAGACGAGCGCTCTAACCATGAGGCCACCGCGCCTCCCTATAAGATCAATTGCATAAAATGTTCTAATCTAACTCAAAGGAAGAACTAAGTAAGGAAAGAAGTAAGTGAGTAAGTAAGTAATAAAATATTAGTAAGTAAATGATAAAATGTTAGTAATAAATAAGCATCCATGTTCAGAGCTAATTTAGTTCCATTTGACTCCTGTTATTGTGGTTCCACGTGATTCTCCGTGCACTCAACACAAGAGGTGACTTGATGCTCAACGTACTTTACGAGCATGAAACACTTATGTCCAGGATTGAACACAGTTACAAATTTTACAAATTTTACGATTTTTCGTATGAGTTTCAAATTCAACAAATTTTGCGATTTTTCGTTGAGCTCTACACGATTTACAAAAATTTGCTCCTAACGTTTTTGTGGAAGATAGGCTATCAATAACAGGCTCGAACTATGGCAGATCATTGTACATCCAGTGTAGTGTCGACTCGCCGCCATCTTGTAGCTTTGGTGATAGCAAAATTCTTGACTACAGGAACTAGGGCCGATTCATACCGGGTAGAAATGCCAAATGGAACAGGAAAAAGGACAACCTCGAGAGGTTTACCGAGATTTTCGAAACGAATTTCCTTAAACTTTCTGTTCCATTCGGCTTTGAACCAGAATTTCCGGAAATTTTGGTCGAATAAAACGCGGCCTTGGACTTAGACTTTGATCGTTACACGGTAGGCTCGCTTAAACGCAACAGTTATGTTGGTGAGCGCATGCGTGCGAGCTTAGCTCAAAGGAACGAACGGTTGCCCGCAGTGCCGGGTTTCTCTCTCGTTCGGCTTAGGAGAAACCAACTGCTCGTAGAGTATATATGTTTGCAACCTAAAGAGAAAACCAGACAAGCTCATATTCTCCCTTGAGAGAAAAATGGTGGAATGGTTTATTTCCGATCTTCGCTGACACACGCCTTTCAGAATTTTCTCATTATTAATTAAAACTCTCTCTCTCTAGATAGACAGACAATTCCACGCCGGGGTCCTGAATGGAAGAGCTGTTCTCTGTTGATGAGTTCACCTTCCTTTCAGCATACAAGTAAAATAATGACAATTGTATGTATTCCTTTCTGGTTGAAATCGAGTGGGCAGTGTTCTTTATCATGTACATGGAAGCAGAATTTGGTGCCTTATTTGATACCTCCTCTATTACATTTTTATCCTCTGATAACGTATTTCTAGCCTTCTGTTTGGTTCAAAGAATCTCAGTTATCAGCCATTTTTATCCATCAGATATTTTCGCTCGCTCACGATTGGTCTAATTGGTCTGAGCGCCTCACGTGACTGAATGTCCGCGGGTTCCGTCGGAAAGAAATGGCTTAAAAGCTCAATACAGCAGATTTCGCCAGCTTTGTAACGCGAGATCTAGAATACAGGAAACAATTGTCAATACTCTCCCGGAAACTACTAAAAGGACAGCTATGCAGAATTTGACACCAAAGATTTATACGAAAAGGACTTTTTACATTCATAAATACATAACTTTATTTCCATTCGGATTTCAGTGTAGCATTGGAGTGCTAACATCCAACAAAACCAATTGAATGAAGACGAAAGGCAGTAAAGTCTGCGAGAAGATCCAAAACTTAAAAATTATCTTTCAGTGTTAAGCGTAGTACTCCAGTTAAGTTCTGTTATCCATATCTGGGTCTGGGTATTTTATGCTTTAGTGAAATTGATCTTTGCTATCGAGTTCTGAGCAACACAATTGTACTCTACTGATTCTGGCAGCCTGGTAAAAAAGTTAACTCTTGTTCCCGCCATAATAAGGAGTAAAACTTTCAGCGAGGCTATTATTTCGGATCTCCCAGCAAACCGTTTTCGTTTGCCACAGAATATCGTCGACTTTAGAGGAGATTGCGGGCGGAATATTTTTGAAGTAAACTCTGTTTTAAAAAAGGCTGACAAATTAGTACATATTACATGCCATATACAAACAATACATGTCGCTTTACAAGCTCGATACTAGTCAATAGCAAGCATTATAATGATGCGTGCAAAAATAAGTACACTGCCGCAACACTATCGTTGCATAAGAGAAGTATGGATGAATTGTGTAATCTCAGCCAAATGACAGCATTCGAGTTTAACAAAAATTGTTTTTGTAACAGTTTTCCAGACAGTTGGAATATTATCTACAGTAGGTCTCCTTTTCATTGTGTTCTTTTGACGATTGATCTTCTACCCAGTGCTGTTGGTTCTTCGAAGCAGTTCAAAAAGCGCTCTGTGAAGTACTGAGCTTCGCCAACAGTAAATAATAGGATTGCACAGCGAATTGAGCAAAATGCAAGACAAAATAAGAGGCTTAGAACTAAGGAGTGCATTACCAAAATATCGTTCAAGAAACTGATATACAATAGAAGGAAAATATGAAAACAGAACGAATCCAATTATAATGGTTGTGGTTTTTACAGCTTTGGCCTCTTCTAAGAATTTTCGCTCTGTATCTTGTGAAACTTGTATGGCTTGAATCTGGTTCCTATGACGTCGACTTACGAGATATACAAAAATTTGACAGTAAATGATTACTAAAAAGCTTATACAAGCTATGGTAATTGTCAACGACGTAGGTAGCTTGGAAAGGGAAGCAATTAGCCTTATACCCGCTGGAATAGCTGCAGTTGTTAAGCAAAAAGTTACAGCAACATTTAAACTAGATTTAGTTACAATTTCGAAGTAGCGTAATGAATATTTCATAGCTAAAAAACGTTCAATGCTCAGCAACGCGAGTAAAAGTAGAGATGCTAAAGATGGGTAAAGGAAAGCAAAGACTGTTTCTCTATAGAGTCTGCAATAATCATCTAATGAAGAACAGGTGATGAGAGATATCTCGCCGAATATAAAACTTGGCTGTACGGCAACTCCTACTGTCAGATCTGTTGCTGCCAAACAAGCCAGTAGCATGTTGTACGTGGTCTGAAGTCTTCGCTTCTTTATTACAGCCACTATTACCAGCGAGTTGATGAAGACAATCACTGGACAAGTCAACATGTTTAAGATGATGGAAAACAATGTGAAAATGTAGTCTTCGTGGTCATATTTTTCTTTCCAAATGCGGCAGTCTGCCGCAGGTGTAATGGAAGAGCTGTTTTCTGTTGATGAGTTCATCTTTCTTTCAAGCGTTTCCAGCTTTGATCAGTAGATAAGTTAATAATTACCGTTAAATGCAATCCAGCAAGTCGTTCACTTTATTTGATGAAAGCGGAATTTTGTGCTTTATTTATACCTTTTAATCAGGGACCTTTCCTGCGTTAATCCCGATACCTAAAGAAGAGAAATTCTCAAACTTACTTATCCCAATCAATGAAGGTTGGAAATGAATAACAAGCAAAATCTGAGGATAAAAACTGACGTCTCGGTGTCATCGTAGCACCGAATCCTATTGTCTTTAATACTGATAATACAATAGACTGATAACTGCAATTTTCTTTGATATTACAATTATTTTTTCAATAACGCTAGATGAACCGCTTTTCAAAGAGACAAGACCGAGCTACACTCATTTAGTCTGCAGTAATTCCATTCTTAAAGGAAACTCCTTCCCAAATATGATATCGCAGACATGATTGGAATAAATGGATAGCTTTCTTACACCTAGGCCCTGTTTGTTACGAAGTCGACAGTATGCTTA